AAGATACTAGTTTTTAACCAAATAATAGTGGGTGTAAAAATTCTTTCCTAACAAAATAAAAGAACTTATCGTGACATGTCACATTCATGTAATTTTTTGGTATTTTTCAATTAAATTAATTCTATGTGCAATTTTTTGATTTTTTTATTTATATAAAAAATTCTAATTAATGCATTAAATGTATTGACCGATTGATTCTATTATTAGTTGACTCTCCCTTGCTCGCCGTCGCTCCCCTGTGAAGACACCAGCCAGAGACATTCGATAGCTACATCTCCGTCGCACCCAACACCATGTTCCATTTTTCTTCCGTATTTTATGCTTTCTTTCTTCTTTTTTCTTCTTTCATTGAAATTACCGATTGATGTTGTTGGTCGATTTCTTTTTTATCGAGAAGGTTTTCTTTTCCTGTGATTTCCTTCTTCACATACAATATTTCTGTAGTATTTTTTTTATATCAATCGTCAAGTTCAAGTTCTTCGCTGGAGTTCTGTCAGGTGATTTCTTACTTTCATTGATAATTGATTTGCTACTATTTTGTTGTTACTGATTTGGTAATTGTGTTTGATGTTCAAATTTATGAAATCTGATGTGTATTGTGTTTTTTAAAAAATGGAATGTGTTAAGTTGTTTGATTAAACGTTGTTTGATTAATGTCTGAGAGGGATAGTAATTTCTTATGCATGTTTTCACTTATCAAATCTAATATTTATGTTTTAATGTTTAAATTTTGAGTTTTAGACATTCATATTCATTTATGTTTTTTTTAAAAGAAAATACATTTAGAAACCTAATTATGTAACAACGAAGAATTGAATACTACACAAACTCTCTTAACTTTTTCAAGTTGATACCCTGTAGTTCATATTCCAAAAAACAAATAAAAGCACCAATTTACTGAAAACTACATAATTTCTTACAACATGCAAATAGCCCTTCAAGTCTCGCCTAGATTTTAAGCTTAAAAATATGTTGAACAAAGTGCTACATAAGCCTCTCCTTAGCATTGTTTATCCACAACTGATAAAAAAGTTGTTTTGCTTAAAAATTAAATTTTTTGTTAAATTAAATATAATTTTAGGTTGTTATTACGAGTAAAGTAGTTATATACCTTATATGACTTTAAGGCATAGATATCCAAAATACTTAATGACCTTATGTTCTTATTTTGAAACATAATTTTTCTAGAGGTCATTTTGAAAAAACCTTAATAGAGAGGTGGGTATTGTAATTTCATTGACTCGTTTTTTAAAACATCATATTTCCATTTGCTTCCTTTAATTTAGATGCTCATGGAGTAAGAGGAAGAATATAGCATTCTAGTTAATAAAATTTTGATTTTTAACAATTATTTCATGAGGAAGTTTACTGTTTGATGTTTGACTGATTTGCAGCTTAATAAAAATTTGATTTTATCGAACATATTATAAATGTACGATGTTATATTCATGGTTGTTTTTATTCATTTTCTTTTTTGTTTTATTAACGTTAAATATCCACAAAATGTTTAATTGTTTGTAGCTTCCACACAAGGTTGGCCTGTTTTGCCATTTCTTCGGTTATATAGGTGGGTATTTTGTACATTGATAGGTTTTTTAAAACATCATATTTCTAGATGTTTCCTTTAATTTAGTTGTTTCTTCCATTCACGTTTGAAATTCTTTGAAAAAAAATATATTTGGGTTGAGGCGGTCCTGCTTTGTGGTGTAGGCCAACATACCCGGCAAGTTGTCCGGATAAGCTGTAGGCCCTGCGAGGCGGTTCAGTCATGTCGAAGGCTCGGGAGCGGTCCAGTTAGGGTGTAGGCCGTACGAGGCGGTCCAGTTTTGGCTGAAGGCTTATTATGCATATTGTTCTGTATTTTTTGATATGATATGATTATGGATATGTATGGATGGTATTTTGGGGGTAGCTCACTAATCTTTCGTGCTTACAGTTTCAGTTTTTTGTTTCGGGTACTTTTTGTGATCATGGAAAGGCGAAGGCATGATCGTACCGCTAGGCCTGCTGCTATATTTTTATGATTGGAAACTGAGATACTCTGATGATTATTATTTTGAAAACAAATTATGTAATGATTAAATGGTTTTAAGTGTGCCGAAAAAGTTTTAATTTGGCACGAAAAATATGGGTGTTACAAACAAACTTTTACTTAGTATTTTTAGGATGTTACACCAAAGAAGAGTTTAAAGAAATTTTGGGAATATACTAAATCTCAGTGAGAAAAACATGAGGGGTAATAACATAACCGACACCCTCTACTAGCATTAATGTAACACTATTAGACATAACATAAATATTATAGCAAGAAGACAAATAAATAAATGATGACAAACATGGTGACATTTGGTGATATTCACTAGAGTCAAAGATCTAGAAAGATGAAAGAATACTTGAAAACTAGATAAGTACATACCCAAATGGGACATCGGTGGTGACTGCTATATTCCCTAAATTAGTCATACATTTTAGGTATTTATCTTAATAATTTATTCTAGAATATTGTATTTTAAAGATAAATTATACGTGATATGATTTAAATTGGATAATAACAGATAAATTCAAGGTTTGAAGAAAAAGGAAAGGGTTGAAGATTATTTGAGCTGATAAGGAAAAAAATTCAAAAACTTGCCAAAAATATGACTGTCTTTGCTCTGTGAAATCGACGTTTTCCTGATCCTATAAATAGACGATTATACAAACCTAATTCAGTGTGCAATCCTTAGGAACTTCTCCCAAGAGGTTAAAAAGTGAAAAAATCATCCATAAACCCTTTTGGTTCGATCTCGAAGGTGGAGATAAAAACTGGAGTGAAGATTTGAAGAGTAGAAGATAGAAGCGTTAGAATGATAAATCGGTTGGATTAATGATCTTGTTTTGTAAATCATTTCTTATAATTTTATGTTTTTGTTTATCTATTATAGGGTAAAACATGAACAATTTCACTAGATTAAATGCAATGTAATGATTTGGTGCAGTTTAATTGTTCGAATATTGGTTTTGTTTAATATATTATGTTTGTTTGATCAAAATCCTTATGTGTTAAAGTTTTGATTTATATTATGTATTTGTGACTTATTTATGATTTAGACAACCAATTTGATTGTATTAACTTGAATCTTGATTAGTTTATGAATAATAAATTGGTTGGACTAGTGTTTGATAAAACCTAGGGTTAGGCGATAAAATTGTAAAATTATATGTGTAAGAAAATGTTTGTGAACAACTTATGCTAATAGTTGGCTTTTGTGACCATTGAAGTTAATTTCTAGATCAAATCTCTCATAATATGAACTTAATTATAATTGTAGAGATAGTTAATTGCATGAATATTGTATTCGTTGTCTTTATAATTACATAATGTAGTTAATCTGACCAGATAACTAATACATTAGAAATCGATAACAATAACTAGTATTCATTGTACTCATTTGGAATCCACCATACCTGAAGGTGAAATCGAAATCTATGTGAAAACATCTTTATATCTTCTATCTTTAAGTCAATTCTCTAGTTTTGTTAGCTTAGTTGAATCAAACATTTGAATATATCTGAATTGAATTCCCATTCTTACACTATCAGATCCACTGTGTAATGTGCATTAGCTTAGCTGCGATAGATTAGGATTTTATAAATTTAAAAGCTGATAATATATATACACACACACACACACACATACACACACACATCACTGACATGGCAGCAAGATTAAAGGCCATATAAAGGACTAAAAAGCATGGGGATCCAAATTAGATTGAGGAGTGATGGAAACTTCGTGATTAGTCTCTATGGAAGGTGCAACAATAGCAGTGAACTATGGTGGACGCAGTACCGATGACATAACCATGTGACTAAAAGGGCATGGTTGAAAGGTTGGCTAAAACTGTCAAAGATGGTATGTTTTATTGTGGATGCATTTGCTATAGTTTTTTCTTTGTTGAATAATAGTATGCACTAAGACTTCTAGTGATTCTTCTATTTTCAAAACACACATTCATCAAATGCAACTTTATTGGATGTTCATGGCTGATTTATAGACTAAGGTTGTGGTGGAACAACAAAAACAAGTGTATTACAATCTTTATACCCATGGTCAAAAAACCTTTTGATACATGTTTCTTCATAAATCATCTCTTTAACAACTCAATGAATTGTGGGAAGACGGGTACAATGGAGAATTGTTCCACCAAGGCCTTCATAATTATATGGTAATGCCATACAAATGCGCTAAATGTTTCTCTTCTCTTCTAACAAAATATTGTCTAAAAGCTTTTAATTCAGCAGACTCTGGGTGAGACAACAAATCCCACAAATAAGACATAGTTGAATATTAGTCTCTAATTGATACTATATTACTATTTATCAAAGTTAGACTAAGTGTGCAATCTTTCCAAGTGATCCCAAACTTCTTGTGTTGATCATATTTTGGGAATTAGGTGCCAATTAATCAATTAAACCACAATATTATTAATCCAAGTGATAGTCATAGATTTATCAATTTCCTAAGCATCAACTAATATTGCATAATTAACATCTCATCTATCGACTTGCTTTAACACCTGTATACCCCACATCTATTTGCCCCTCAAAAAGAATTTCATCACAATAAACAAAATTTTTGCAATCTAGTTGGATGCTAATAGACTGTAAAATAGTCATCTTTAGGAGCCATATTGACAATAATCAACCTAAGCATATACCAATACCAAATAAAAAGAAGATGACGAACAAACAACAAACACCAATCAACAAATTCCGACAATAACAAAAACGAACTAACATCAACCGAATGAATGAAGGAAATGATGGAAAATTACCAGAGCATACGAACGACTAACATCGGCTCATGCAACCGGTGATTGCCAAACCGTTCTCCACAATTAACATATCAAAAGGAAAGGATCGAATAACACTCTGATAGCATGTTTAGCAAATAATAGACACAGAAAAACGGCTAGGGTTATATTATGAGAGGAAATGGTAATTGAAAATACAAAGGAAAAGATAACTATATATAGATAAGTTATCTATGATTTACGTAGCTGCATTGCCAAATAAAAGACCCAACATAAAATAAGCTCGATGCTTTATTACGCTAAGATAGGCACATGCTGTCTATCTAGCATGCAAAAGTGTAATCATGTATTCCTCTAGGGATGAAACAGTATCAACTTCACGATAACTTTCTTCGGTGAAAAACGCTGGTTGCTTGGGTGGAGGCAGTGCCCCCTTACTAATCAGCATCAGAACTACTGACAATATAGTTGGTCTATCTTCCGCATGATGTTGCACACACAATAATGCAACATGTATTGAACGTAGTACTTCAGACATGACATAAGAGTTACGTAAAGATGCACTCATGAGTTCAATGGAGTTGTCTTCTTTATATAGTCTCCATGCCTGCATGTAACAAGGTTTTAGAAAAATATACTAAAGGATCAATGATGTTAAAGAGCAAATAGCTTCTAGTCCATTTTAGTCTACATGATTAACTTACATGTCCAAGAAGGTTATCACTATGGGCCTCATGAGAGAATCCTCTGTTTTTCTTCCCACTCACAATCTCCAACACAACAACACCAAAGCTAAATACATCTGACTTTATAGAGAAATGCCCATGTACAGCATACTCGGGAGAAATGTAACCACTGCAGACAAGATCATTTAATTAAAAAAAAAAAAAAAGATTAGTGGTATTTCGTGTTTGCTTATATTTTTTCCCTTGTCATGGAAAATGTTTGATGGATTCTTACTGTGTTCCAACCACCTTCTTTGTCTTAGCCATGTCATCATGTCCTACAAACTTGCGAGCAAGGCCAAAGTCTGATATTTTTGGATTCATTTCACTGTCCAACAAGATATTACCTGCTTTGAGATCTCTATGGATGATTTGAAGGCGGGAATCTTGATGTAGATAAAGAATACCCCGAGCTATACCATGGATAATGCGAAAGCGTTGAGGCCAGTCCAGCATTGAACCTCTGGTTTCATCTGCCAAATATGAACTACTTTATTAGTCCATGAACATTGCTACAACAAGTGTGAAAGTAAGGCATTAGAGGGAGTCAAACCAAATATAAATGAGTCCAAGCTTTTGTTATCCATGTATTCATAAATTAGAATCATTTCATTTCCATGAATGCAGTATCCAAGGAGCTTCACAAGATTCCGATGCTGAAGTTTGGCAATACAAATGACTTCATTTTGGAACTCATCAACTCCTTGTTGGGATGTTTCTGAGAGACGCTTTACAGCGATTACTTGCCCGTTTTCCAACACACCCTACAAATAAATATTGGAGCTTATGATTCTAATATTTCTTTGTCAATACAGACATGTATTGTGTTTTATTTCAAAAGAATCAGCAAGATACCTTGTAAACGGGACCAAAACCGCCTTCTCCGATCTTATTATCGATGTTAAAGTTATCGGTAGCCTCAGCTATTTTATGCAGGCTAAAAAAAGGTAGCTCATCAAGGTTATCCATCTGAAGACTCGTATGGTTTTTATCAAGGGTATGTGCCCTGCTTCCTACAAAAGGTTCATTTTCAATTTCTTATTTTTACATGAATCTGCCAAAAATCATACTCTTGAAAACACTCGATTGGTAGTATTAGCTTGTTAATGTTTCATTTCTGGAAGAATAATCAATGACTTGTTTTACCTCGTCCCTTTTTATGAAGCCTTTTTACTTTTTTTCTACATGCATATGCTACTGCACACAGAAGCAGTGCAGCTGACAAAACTGACAGCAACACCACGAGTATTCCCTTCTTCTTGTTGAAGCTGAATTGGCTTTTTGCTATGAAAAAAAAGTTAGTAATGTTACAATTCAAAACCAAATACATTCAACCTGGAGGATCCCGACAGTTTTTTTTTTTTTTTTTTTTTTTTTCAAGAGTCCCTATAAATTACTGTATAAAGTAATTCTTGTTAGATTCGATTAAATCTTCATCCTATGTGTGACCAATAGGTTTTACCAGCTAAAAGAATTAGCTAGATATCACAAGATAGTCTAATCCAAACTAATGATAGTACTGACTCTGTAAGGGAAACGAATAACAAGCTAGCAAGACACGATTAAGGTATGGCAATAATAACTCAACAGCCAACTTTCACTGTTTTATATAGAATAAAATTTGTGTACCTGCTAACTCAGAGGTTGCCATTCTTATGTAAAGTTCTTGATAATAATCATATTCTTTAATGTCCATAAGCTCATCAAACCATATCAAACATCCACTTCCTCCGTTTCTGATATCTAAATTAGCATAAGCAGTACAAGAGCAATTGCTTCTGCATACCATCTCACATTCTCCAAGGGACATGCTCTCGTTGTACCATGAACGTCGTGTGTCTGGAAAGATCACTCCTGAAATTTTATGAAAGAAATCCTGAGTCCTACAATCCAATGGCTTTTTACGTTGGCACCCACTCGACCAATCCCATGAATTCCATTCTTCTGGGACTCTTGGGTCAAAACCTTCCAAACAACTGCAAGGAAGAGAACTTTTCATGCTGCAGCTTCCAAAAGGACCACATGTTCCATAACGACTACAAGCATCAACCACTACATTTGCATAGTCGACCCATTCTTGGGTTCGCTTGTTCGACTGCAACCGCCTTACCATGCCATCCCACATCAAAATAACCCTCTGAACAGTTGTACTCTTCAGTTTATATCTATAATATATTTCTTTCTGATTCACAACAAATTCTGTAGAGAAAATTGGATTCTTGTTTTCCACAGGAATGCCTTGAAAACCAAGACCATTCCATGGTCCAACCCTCAACGTTTCACCTTGACCTAATTCACCCACAAAAATCTGTGGATATCCATTTGTGTCTACCCAGAATTTATAAAAACCAATAGAGGGATCATCAGGGCTCTTCCAAGATGTAAAGTATCTCTCTCTTCCTGTTATCAAATCTTTCCCAAATTTCATTCCTGGTAGCAAAGTGTTACCAGGGTAGTCAAAACTTTGCCAGATCGGATTTTCTTTGTTGCCATAGCCATCCCACACCACAAGATTTCCGCTGTCCAGAAGCTTTGCCACTGGATTAACATTCCTTGCAGATACGGTGAAATTGGATGACCAGATGACAGTATTACTATTGCCACCACTGTGACTCAGCAGGACTCCTTCTGAAGTGACTTGAAACACCCCAGATGCATCCTTGATTGGTGTCTGCCTGTTAGCAACCCAGACAACTGTACAAGGTGATATCTTCTTGTACCATATCCCCAAATATCGATTCTTTGACTTTCCAGGGCTAAAAAACCCCAGTTCATACGTCTCACCATCTGAAACAATTGTGGTTCCATCTTTGATCCGATGATTTGTATATACTGTATCTACTGCAGCAGAACACGACAAAATAAAGAATATAATACTTGACAGCAACACAAGAATAATGCGATAAACCTCCATTAATTAATCATTTGTTCATGAACAGGGTGAGTGCTAGACATAGATGAAGATGGTAGACATAAATAACATCAACTATGAAAACACGTTTTTTTTTAGAACCAAAAGTAATATTATGAAAAACAAAAGAACAACACGTAAGCTTGACTTTTGAATATTAAAACGTACATAAGTTATTGACTTGAAACCTTCATCTTTGAAAACTTGATTTCAAGACGTTTAATTTTTGGTTACGGAAGTTTTACGGGTAAACCGTGGGCGTGTTTGGCACGGCGTTTTTGGGAACTTTTAGCTTCTAGGATTTGATAAAACGCTTCGTTTTGAATAAAAAACTTGGTTTGACACTACAAGCTGTTAACGTTTAGTTTAAACAAACACTCTAAATCTAAAAGTTATCTCACATAGCCTTTGACACTAGAATCTGTTAACGTGATAAACCACCTTAAGGAAGTCAGATCTATGTGTTGGAGTGAAGTCTTAACCGTTTAAGAGTTGAATGAGAAAGTTGTCCAAGTTGAGTACACTGGCCATATAACTTTTATGTTGGGTGGGGCCCGTTATGCGAGTTTGGGCGGGGCACATTATACTCATTAGGCGGGGCCCGTTATGCGATTTGGGTGGGGCCCATTATACTTAGTGTGCGGGTCCCATTATGTGATTAAGGGCGGGGCCCGTTACACTCATTAGGCGAGGCTTATTATGTGTTTATTTATGTAAGGTATGTTGTATTTTGGGGAACTCACTAAGTTTTGTGCTTACGATTTTCAATTTATGTTTCAAGTACTTCAGGATTGAAAGGGAAGAGCCCAGGATGATTGAAGAGCACACATCACCTTTTTCCGCATTTTGAGAAGTGCTGTGATATGTTTTGATATATTGACATACTTTGATCTTTATGGGGTTGTATGACAATGATTGGGTTAATGTTGTATTAAATCAAGAATGAAATTTTTTGGTCTTATTGTTGGGACGTTTCAATTGTTTAAGTTAGTAAAGCTCTTGAATTGTGTTTTAGAGCTAAAATGTAGAACTAGAGTGCAATATTTGGACTTCTTGATTAAGTTCGATGTTCTTTACATCATAAGTAAGTAGATAGAATTATGGGGCTTGTCGATACCCTTCCGTGCATATAAAGATCGTTGAAAATGGAGTTGAAACAAGGAAGTTATGGTTGTTTGAAGCTGATATGGATTTTGGGAAAAACGTGACTCCACGTTACGGCATGCTGTGCAAGTCAAGCCCATTAAATTAGGGTTTGGCTCGAATGTTAGCATTTAAACCCCTTGTTTTAGGTTATTTGTAGCCTCCTTTTTACCTAGAAACCCTCTCTTTAGCAAACCCTAGCCTCCCTTCATAGATTAAGCTCCTCCTATCTCCTTTCATCCATTTTTATGGTGTTTTTGTGTCCTTGGAGTGTGGTGTTCTTTAAAGACTTGGTTTATTACATTTCCTCTTTGGATCTAAGGTATTTGGATTTTTAGTGTTTATATGCTTGTTTGGTGCATTTGATGAATTTTGAGTGATTGGTTTCAATAAAGTTTGCAACTTTATTGATCTATGAAGTCTCAAGAGTATTGTATGTTCCAGATCTGAGGTTCCTTGGAGTTTTGGTCACAAGCTTGGAGTGTATTTTTCCATGTTTTTGACTTAAAATGGAAGGGACATGCATTGGACATGTATGTCCATAAACCTATGACTTTTATGGTCCATTAGGTGTAGGAAACCCTTCTGATGTGAAGGAGTAAGTCTAATGATTAAGTGCTTAATGGGTGTTTGCATGGCTTGAGTTCCCTTTAAGGACTTAAGGTTGGAGATCTTAACTTATTGAAACTTCTTAAGGGATAAAGTTGGAACTTTATCCATCAAGACCGCAGGAGGGACCAAATCTGAGCTTCGAAGCTCTTGGAATTGTTGGAAAACAACATAATATGTTAAGTTGTTCAGGCTAGTCCCTACGGTGTGACATTAGGCTCCCCGACATCACGACTGGTAAGGACCCGATTGTTTTTTCCTTAGACTGCCACAGCATGACCGATGGATGGCCACGATAGGACTACTCGCTGATTAGGGTTTTTGGGTTGTTGACATAACCGTTGACCATGGGAGGTAACTTATTGACTTTCTGAGTTAGTTGACTTTTAGTCAATCTGTATGTTTGGACTTTAGACTGAGGTTAAGTTCCCACTGTCTTATAGGTAACTCGTGGTGTTGGTTTTGATCCTTGGAGGGAGCTACTATATTAGTTGCTTGATTTTGAGGTAAGTTTTCCTCACTCTATGCATAGGTCGAAGGCACCAATACCGACCCACTAGATTGTGTAATGTACCCTATTGTATAGGATGTTGTTATGCTACAATGATCTGTTAGATTAGTAGATCTGTATGATTATCTAAATTTTCAGGATAGTGTTTATCTGTGGCATATGTCGACATAGTACGGTTGGGTCGAAGCGCAAATGCTTTGTGTTGTAAGCTAACAAACGTGGGAGCAATCCATCCATAAGCTCAGGGCCAAGAGAGCAATTCATTCTTATGATGTGGGCTCGGGATCAAGGTAGTCATTAGCTGTGGTCTAGGATTGGGCAATCCAGTCTCATGTAGTAGGCTCAGGGGCAATCCAGTCTAATGTTATGGGCCCAGTGTGCATGCATTGTATATGTATTGTCGTGTGGAGTATATTGGGAGAACTCACTAAAATTTGGCTTACAGTTGTTGGTAAGGTGCATCAGATGATTAGGGCAAGGCAAAGGCGTGATCGTACACGTCCTCCTGCCGATATATGTTTTAAGAGATCTTGATACTCTGATTTTATGGAATTGTTTTGAAAACAATGTTTTATAACTTATGGTTTGTGGGATGGTTTTATAAATAAATGAAAATTTTTATCATAATTTTTGGGATGTTACATGAAGGTTTATATGTGTTAAGTTGACAAACTCTAAGCTAATCCACCCCCCCCCCCAACATTCTTCCACACACTTCATTTGGAAACGATTGTGAATAGATGGACGATAAGTAAATGGTGATTTAGATGCTTGAAGAAAACTAAAAGCATGTTTGAAATCAAGTTGAATATTAGAATATTATTTCTCGATGAAGCTTGGAACTATATAGCTTATTCACAATCATTTTGTAACACCCTGTTTGGGATCATTCTATGTTTTAGGGCCGTGGGCTGGAATTCAATTTTGTAAAGGCTTTGGGCATTAAGGAGGCTATGTTTAGACCTTTTGAATGGAGGTAATGATGATTATGAGATCTACACCCTTGAATTTTGTTTTAGAGTCAAAGAGTAAAATGGGAAAAGTCATAGGTCGGGTTCTTGCATGAAATGTGGATTTTTTTCGAGTGGTTTTTAGTCTAAGATATTTAGATAATATTGTAGAGCTCTTAAATACTTTTTCGTGGATATAAAGAACATCGAAAACGGAGTTGGAATGAAAAAGTTACGATTGTTTGAAGTTAGGACCATTTTTGGGTCAGCCACATATGTTGGGCATAAATTGAATACGTCGGGCATACTAAGTATGCCTGAGTACACTGGTTGTAAATTAAGTACATTGGCCGTATGCAAAAAGTGCCCAAACCCTATTTTCATGGTCCGAGCCCTATTTAAGCTTCTTAAATCCCCCAAACCCATTCCATTCTCAGCCTCCACCTCCCGAACACCCTCTCTTGTGACCCTAATCCTAGATTGATCCTTGTGAGTAGAAAGAAGGTGTTTTTAAGTGCCTTGGAGTG